CTCTCTCTCCTCGCCCCACTTCCCCACCCAACTTTCTCTTCTCAACCCAGTGGGATTTCTTTCCACTGGGGGGGGGGGGGTGATTTTACATGCTGCTGTGGGGGGGGGGGGGTGTTCACTCGAGTGTGAACGCTGTTCAATAAATTCGCTCTACAGGTAAAATTAAACAAAAATATCTTATTCTCCGCTCACGTGGGTTTCTAAGTATAAACACCGATTTCTAGTAGCCATATATCAATCTCAGGAGATTATAGAGTTGCGCTCTGGTTGTCGGTCTGGAGTGGCCTCTCCAGGGCGCAAAGCCAGGGTAGGTTGATATGGAGAGGAAGCTGTTACCCATGCAGCTGGTTCCCCCCTCTCCATGGCGCCGAAAGTCTCCAATGGAAAGGTACCGGTTTCTACCACTATTATATATGCTAATGTTCAATGGTTTCTAAACTGAACATAAATTAACTATTTTAATGGATATATTTTTATTTCTAAATAAACCTTCAGACTGAGAATTCATTTTCTGTCTACCAAAACTGGGGCTTAAAGTTAAGATATAAATGTATAGTATATAATATATATATACATATATATATATATATATATAATATATATATATATATATATATATATATATATATATATAATATATATTATATATATATATATATAATGTGACAATGTCAGACCACGGAGGAAAAATGAAACAGGAATTTCCTTAAGTACTTTCGTATATTAAATACATCTTCAGAAGGTCTGAAGATGTTTGATCTTCTGAAGATGTATTTAATATACGAAAGTACTTAAGGAAATTCCTGTTTCATTTTTCCTCCGTGGTCTGACATTGTCACATTCTTAATCACGTGTTTATTTTCGTGATATACACACACACATATATATATATATATATATATATATATATATATATATATATATATATATATATATATATATATTTATATATATATATATATATATATATATATATATATATATGTCGTACCTAATAGCCAGAATGCACTTCTCAGCATACTATGCAAGGCCCGATTTGCCTAATAAGCCAAGTTTTCCTGAATTAATATATTTTCTCAAATTTTTTTCTTATGAAATGATAAAGCTACCCATTTCATTATGTATGAGGTCAGGTTTTTTTTTATTGGAGTTAAAATAAACGTAGATATATGATCGAACCTAACCAACCCTACCTAACCTAACCTAACCTATCTCTATCAGTTAGGTTAGGTTAGGTAGCAGAAAAAGTTAGGTTAGGTTAGGTAGGTTAGGTAGTCGAAAAAACATTAATTCATGAAAACTTGGCTTATTAGGCAAATTGGGCCATGCATAGTTGGCTGAGAAGTGCGTTCTGGCTATTAGGTACGACATATATATATATATATATATATATATATATATATATATATATATATATATATATATATATATATATATATATATATATATATATATATGCAAACAAGCCTGAATGGTCCCCAGGACTATATACAACTGAAAACTCACACCCCAGAAGTGACTCGAACCCATACTCCCACAACTGGTATGTACAGGGACGCCTTAATCCGCTTGACCATCACGACCGGACATAAGGAAGTGATAGCCGAGGCTATATGAACCACTTCCCCGCCGGCACTCGGATGGTAATCTTGGGCATAGCATTTTATCAAATCACCTCATTCTTTGGGGCACACGTGAGGAACACAAATGCAAACAAGCCTGAATGGTCCCCAGGACTATATACAACTGAAAACTCACACCCCAGAAGTGACTCGAACCCATACTCCCACAACTGGTATGTACAGGGACGCCTTAATCCGCTTGACCATCACGACCGGACATAAGGAAGTGATAGCCGAGGCTATATGAACCACTTCCCCGCCGGCACTCGGATGGTAATCTTGGGCATAGCATTTTATCAAATCACCTCATTCTTTGGGGCACACGTGAGGAACACAAATGCAAACAAGCCTGAATGGTCCCCAGGACTATATACAACTGAAAACTCACACCCCAGAAGTGACTCGAACCCATACTCCCACAACTGGTATGTACAGGGACGCCTTAATCCGCTTGACCATCACGACCGGACATAAGGAAGTGATAGCCGAGGCTATATGAACCACTTCCCCGCCGGCACTCGGATGGTAATCTTGGGCATAGCATTTTATCAAATCACCTCATTCTTTGGGGCACACGTGAGGAACACAAATGCAAACAAGCCTGAATGGTCCCCAGGACTATATACAACTGAAAACTCACACCCCAGAAGTGACTCGAACCCATACTCCCACAACTGGTATGTACAGGGACGCCTTAATCCGCTTGACCATCACGACCGGACATAAGGAAGTGATAGCCGAGGCTATATGAACCACTTCCCCGCCGGCACTCGGATGGTAATCTTGGGCATAGCATTTTATCAAATCACCTCATTCTTTGGGGCACACGTGAGGAACACAAATGCAAACAAGCCTGAATGGTCCCCAGGACTATATACAACTGAAAACTCACACCCCAGAAGTGACTCGAACCCATACTCCCACAACTGGTATGTACAGGGACGCCTTAATCCGCTTGACCATCACGAACGGACATAAGGAAGTGATAGCCGAGGCTATATGAACCACTTCCCCGCCGGCACTCGGATGGTAATCTTGGGCATAGCATTTTATCAAATCACCTCATTCTTTGGGGCACACGTGAGGAACACAAATGCAAACAAGCCTGAATGGTCCCCAGGACTATATACACCTGATTAAGGTGCTATATACACCTGACGCCTGATTAAGGCGTCCCTGTACATACCAGTTGTGGGAGTATGGGTTCGAGTCACTTCTGGGGTGTGAGTTTTCAGTTGTATATAGTCCTGGGGACCATTCAGGCTTGTTTGCATTTGTGTTCCTCACGTGTGCCCCAAAGAATGAGGTGATTTGATAAAATGCTATGCCCAAGATTACCATCCGAGTGCCGGCGGGGAAGTGGTTCATATAGCCTCGGCTATCACTTCCTTATGTCCGGTCGTGATGGTCAAGCGGATTAAGGCGTCCCTGTACATACCAGTTGTGGGAGTATGGGTTCGAGTCACTTCTGGGGTGTGAGTTTTCAGTTGTATATAGTCCTGGGGACCATTCAGGCTTGTTTGCATTTGTGTTCCTCACGTGTGCCCCAAAGAATGAGGTGATTTGATAAAATGCTATGCCCAAGATTACCATCCGAGTGCCGGCGGGGAAGTGGTTCATATAGCCTCGGCTATCACTTCCTTATGTCCGGTCGTGATGGTCAAGCGGATTAAGGCGTCCCTGTACATACCAGTTGTGGGAGTATGGGTTCGAGTCACTTCTGGGGTGTGAGTTTTCAGTTATATATATATATATATATATATATATATATATATATATATATATAGTATCTTAAAAGTTGACACATATAGCAATCACTGTTCGAAAACCTCATCCACCTCTGTATCGATGGGGTTCGTGCCCAAGATTCAGCAGGCATTTCCTCTCTGGGTCGCGACACTAAGGCGCTGGAACATGAAACTGGCCACTCTTTGGTCTCTGGTTTGCTTAATTCCTCACTCGCCTCCTTCAGGAACTTAAGTGCACAATTACCCTAGACGCTCATGGTTTCGGGTGCCTAATAATGTCGCAAGTCCCCTTGTACTCATTAGTTTCCTGTGTCTCCCTGAAGGTGGCAGCACCCCACTCTTACCTCTGTTGTACTGAAGATAGGTATCATTATATCTTAAATGATAAGTATCATTTAAGATATACGTAAATCTTAAAGTATAATTAACACATATATAGTCTCGGGGTTTACTAAATATATGGGTCGAAGTTTCTAAAAATGCAGTTGCACGCTTCTGAAAAAGTCACTGATTTGTAAAAATTTAGTTTCTTGTTTCTAAAAATGAAGTTGTTGCTTTATAAAAATAATCAACAGCATTTTAAGCAATGACAACTTTTTTTTTTAATTTCAAAGAATGACTTGTTCCCACAATGCTTGAGCCATTCTTTTCTACTCTCAACAATGTCGTGGGTTTTCAAAATAAAAAAAAGTAAATTGCTTCAATAATGTACAGAGTCACTGGTTAGTGAAGTGTGTATTTAGCAACTGGTTTCCAAATTGTAGACACATTGCACAGATCCACTTTTTTAATACATAAGTAATTTTGCTTAATTTAGTCACTTGTTTTAAAATGTCCAAAACGTATTTATTAATTCAGTTAAGCAGCTAATTTCTAAACTGTAGCACAACATTGTTCCAAAATGCAGTTATTGATTTTCAAAATGTAGAGCCACTTATTTCTAAAATTTAAAGTTTTTCTAATTTCTAAAAAAATAACACGTCGAATATTTACTGTATAGTTATACACGTTTCTAAAATGATCGAATGTTTTTGAAAATTTAGTCGCTTTTTTCTTTTGTTGATATTCAGTGCTGACACGACGTCACATCCAAGATCTTGCTTAGTAATCATTAAAGAAATCACAATATATCGCAGTCCGTACACGTGGAAGCCTCATCCTCACTTTCACTCGATAGCCTGAGTCTTTCTTCACTAATATATTCCTGTTTCCTTATTACAATTTAATTTTTGTTTTCAGCGTGACACACTTAGGATAAACAGGTTAGTAACTAATCACTTGATATGAACGCTCAGTTTATGAAAGGATTTCCTGAGGCGCGAAGTTAACTTGGATTAATAAGACGGATTACCTCAGCCCCCAGGAGGCGCTATAGGTGTAGTGAGGTACTCTGAGCCGGGACACACGCGCACAACGGTACACTGAGTGTGGACACACACACACACACACACACACACACACACACACACACACACACACACACACACACACACACACACACACACACACACACACACACACACAATAAGTTTCCGCCACAATTTGTGTTGAATCTGGGACCGGAGGATATAGTTTGGCAAGGAAGTTTAAACCGCATTTCGATCTTCCTTCAAAGTTGCTGATAACTAACCGTGAGTGTGGTCTGGTGGTGAGATGGTCTGGTAGTGCAGCTTGGTCTTGTTTATCTTGCCACATGTGTGTGTCAGGCCTGCCTCCATTCATTCCTCGTGCCCTTCCCAGACCCCACTTCCGCCATCTCTCCTCCTTAGATCACTTAAGTCTTTCCGGTCCGAGTTTTCAAAGACCAACAGGGAGGGAGAGCGTTACATCCGAGATGACGGTCGCGGATGCTCCAATCAGCAGTCACTGAGACCGATAGGAAACGTTGTTGTGTGTTTGGGAGAGAAGGAGGCAATGTGGGCTAGTAGACTACCCGCTTCTGGCCAACATCTCCGGCCCCCCCCCTCTCTAACCCCACCTCCCCCGGCCTATATTTTGACACATCCCCCCCGTTCCCTTCCTCACATCTCCTCCCAACTACCATTTAACATTTCCAATTCTCTGTCAGAAATACGTATTTCCTTTTAAATGTATTGTTACTAGATTGCATAAACTATATTTGTAGAGCATCGGCTGTAAAAATATTCAACAAAGACTGACAGAAATAGAGTTTATTAATCAAAAATAGAATGGTATAGCTGGCAACTTGAGGCCCCTTCTCCCCCCCCCTCCCCTGGTACCCCCCACCCCCACCCAGGAGACCATCTTCTTTGCAGGAATTTTCGTAGTTGCTCATGTATATTAAGACATTAATCCTCCCCGTCTTCTTTTATATATAATTTGTGTAAATATTTGTTGTCATCTTTTGCTTATGATTGTGCGTGGTTCGTGCTTTTTGAGGAAAAAGTGTCACATAAAATAGAAATACTGAGATAGACTTGGCAAGGTATATGGCCGCTTGGAGCGTGAGCACGTCTTCTGCCCACGAGGTGCGCTATATACCCTGTGCCCGCTACCTGGAGGTATACCCCCGCTACCTGGAGGTATACCCCGCTACCTGGAGGTATACCCCTTCTACCTGGAGGTATACCCCTTCTACCTGGAGGTATACCCCGGTACCTGGTGATCTCCCTACCTCCCTTGCTATACCTGGTGGTCCCCCCACCTCCCTCGCTATACCTGGTGGTCCCCTTTTTTTTTACTTAATATTTTACCTCTATACTCGTCCACAATATGCTAATATACTGATCTGCTATTTGATGACTCCAACGCTCCGCTACTATCAATAAAAGACAACCATCTTTACCACTTGATACTATGTCCTCTAAGCCAACCATTACAGCTTGAAGTTCAGTCAGCATTGAGGAGACATTGTCAGTTAAGCGGTGTCCAATAACAGTATCTATGGTGCCGATGTCATTGTACTCCCTAATCAAGACTCCACATCTAGCCTTTCCGTTCTTAACTACTGACCCATCTTCTTCTTGAGGTGATTTCAGGGCTTAGCATCCCCGCGGCCCGGTCCACGACCAGGCCTCCTTTTTATTACACACACCCCCAGGAAGCAGCCCGTAGCAGCTGTCTAACTCCCAGATACCTATTTACTGCTAGGTGAACAGGGGCATCAGGGTGAAAGAAAGTGCCCATTTGTTTCCGCCTCCACCGGGGATCGAACCCGGAACCTTAGGACTACGAATACCGAGCACTTTCCACTCAGCCGTCAGGCCCCATCACAATAAACATATGGTGTTTAATTTAGGTATTGTTCTGTTCCGTACATTAGTTTTCTCTTGCAGAGAACAATCACAACATCTGCATTACAATTCTCCCATTGTGTTAATTTTTTTGTAGACAATGAAATATACTTTCTTGCAACATGTAATATGTTACATCAGAAAATAAAGTTCTCGTATATCCTCTCTTGTTATATGTCAAAATAAATTGCTCATTTCTTCCCATCTTTTGAATGAAGTGGATTAATTAATTGTCTCCCCCCAACTTGTCAATAGTCTAATCGCCGAAGCTACATTATCTCAGAAACAGTATCTCTAATCCTCATTATATCAATTGTGGCATTTTTAAGGCATCCTTTTTAGGGTTATTCATGCCTGTGCCACCCCTTTGGGTGGCTTAATCACCATTAATTAATTGGACGTCCTAAGAATCTTTTCATAGCCTCATTTTGTGCCTTCTCTAACTTTAGTCTACCAAAAGAAGAGATAACAGGTGCAGCATAACAATAATAATCAATAAGAGATCCCGCAGTACTCAAGTACATCATGCGGAGCTCTGGGACTTTCACTCCCTATCCACAACTTACCGAAACTTTCAAAGGTTCTAATCTCTTCCGAGATTGACTCAAGATCTTAAGATTGAGATCAGGAGATCACAAGATAACAGACGGTTCAACTCGGTTTTCATACGTTGATGTGTATATACAATATATTTGCCTAAATATTTATATATTTTACCGTACTAGATTTTTTCCCCCGTTTTTAATATATTAGGCTTCCGATTTCTACATTCAAACTGAATTTTGTTTTCATTAACCACAAGTCCCATGTGGTGACAGGTCTCCTAAGTCGTACAACACCGTTTGAATATTTAAGCTATCTTTACCCCGGAAACACCTGCAGATATATAGTTACCATATTTGATTATCTCTCGTATGCTATCCTACTCATTAGCATATTAAACAGGGCGGGTGTTAACGCTTCTCCTTGAGGCGTGGCGAGCTCAAAAGATCTTAAAGCTAGCATGAAGATAAGCACCTATTCAGTGCACTAATCCTCCTCTCAAGTATTTAGTGAAATACTTGAGAGGTAAGTCGTTTGCTCCCTTGATTCTTCTGTTTCCACTATCCAGTACTAATGGTAAATACTGAGGTCATTCACTCCGTGCCGCTGCTTGGGCCCTCCCCCGGCACCACCCACCGTGACTCTGGCCTTCAAGACGCAAGTTTTTAATACTGAGAGAGAGAGAGAGAGAGAGAGAGAAGAACGCTGGGAAGATTGCTTTTAATCTACATATTTTCAAAGTAAGTTTTTTTGGCTAATAATAAAATTAACATGTTTGAACTACCACAGATTTAAGGAAAGTTCAGTTTAATATATTCATTGCATTTCTTTTCTGAAAATTCTCACGCATTATATGAGTATCTTATGTTTTTTATTGGACATTTTCTCCAAGTGTATCTTTCCACCCTATATTTATCTTCTCTCCTATTCTCAACGCATCGTCATTTCCTTCAGCATTATTTTTTTGCATTTCATCTCCTCTCTGTCTCTTCCCCGTTCCTCTCCGCCATTTTTTACTTCCGTTTCTCATTATTCTACTCGTCCGCACTTCCTTCTTGCACACACAAAGCCCCCTCTCCCCCCCCCGCCACCTCCTTTCCCATCAGTCCTTCCTGTCTTCTGTTGTTCCCACCTGGTCTTATGATCCTTTCCCATCTCGCTCCTGCCTGGCTATTGGACACGTTCATACCCCCCCCCCCCATCCCTCTCCTCCTTACCTGGGCATTCGGACACGCCCATACACTCATCCCTTTCGTTCCTATACCTGACCATAGGGGCACACCCTTATATCCCTACCTGACCATAGGAAAAACCCTCCTTCCTTGTCCCTACCTGGCCATTAGGATACATCCATATACCCCCTTCCATTCCACGTACGTCATTAAAAGGACATTTGGACGGACCGTGCATCCCTACCCCTTCCATACCTGGATAATGGGGACACTTCACATGCCTTGGACCAACAACAGTCAAAACGGCTACCACATTTTATGGCTTCACCTGGTAATTACTAAGTCTCCGGTTCCTTCTCTTCCTGCCACTTGCATCTCACGTACCCGTACCCACTACACACCTACACCTGCCTGCTACTTCCATCCCATGTACCCGTACCCACTACACACCTACACCTGCCTGCTACTTCCATCCCATGTACCCGTACCCACTACACACCTACACCTGCCTACCACTGCCATCCCACGTACCCACTACCTCCACTGGTGTAGTGGTCTTGGTATCCGTGCTGTTGGTGGGGAGACTCCTGTTGGCCTGGGTTCGAATCCTCTAAAGGGTTATAGTTATAGTCATATATCTGTATTTGAGGACCATTCAAGCTTTGCTCATATGGTCATTATATACATCATATAATGTATGTAATATAATATGCATATATTCTGCGAATAAGGTAATGAATACTTGTGGTGAATATATGGACTTCTCGAGTCTCCTCCTACGGCCACCAAAGCTTATATGCCCTCTTGAGAAGTTGTTGTTATAGATTCAGCTACTCGGAACAAGTTGCAAGTAGCACGGGCTATGGTGAGCCCGTAGTGGACTTACCTGGCACAGGAGCGGGGCTGTGTGTCTCTTGAGACGCTCCCTGCGTGCTTATGGGGATTATGGGGGTTGGTGCGGGGTGCTCACTATTTCCCTTTGTTCAGCTGTAATGACCGCCTTCCCTTTCCCTTCACCTCTTTTCTCTTCCTTCACCTCTTTACCCCTTTTTTCCTTACCTTTCTCTTTACTTCCCCTCTTACACCCACCCCACTTCTTCTCTCCCTCTCTCCTACAATCGTCTCCTCACAATCCTATCATAATTCCTCGTGATGGGTCCTGCTTCTGCTCTTTTGTTAATTTTAATTAACGTTGCGTTAGACGGGATTATATATATACGCATGACTGATGAAGATTAAGCCACCCAAAAGGTGGCACGGGCATGAATAGCCCGTAAAAAATATACACATGCATATATAGCGTTTATATATGCACTGTACGCATAGCGTTTAGGTCAGGTCCTTAATCTAAATTTTCCCTGGAAAATAGGATGAGGTCAGGTCTTTAATCCTAGTCTCATCCTGTGAGCGGTAGCGCAAATAATATATGGCGGTGATATTTTGTTTCAGGGCAAAGATATTTCAAAGGTTCAAACGATGTTGGATAATTTCGGAAATCTGTGTCACCATATGGGACTGGTGGTTAATGAAGACAAAACTAAGTTTGAATGTAGAATTCGGAGGCCCATTATATTGAAAATAAACGGTAAAAAAATATAGTTAATATATATAAATATTTAAGCATATGTGTTGGATATACCCATGAGAGTTTGGAAGCTGAGATGAACAGACTGTTGGGTCAATGTCGGAAGAGATTACAACCTCTGAAGGCCTTGACATGCTGTGGAAAGGGAGTGGGAGTCCCTGTGCTACGAATGATATACTTGAGTACTGTAAGATCTCTTATTGATTATGCTGCACCTGTCATTTTTTGTTTTGATAAAGGTAGGATGGGCAAGTTGGAAAAGGTACAAAATGAAGCAATGAGAATTATCTTAGGATGCCCAAGAAATGCTATGATTGAGATAATGAGATGGAGTCGAATCTGAAGAGTATTGGGGATAGAATTTTACATTACATTTTTACATTATGATTTCACTGCATTTTGTGTGGTTTCCATTTTGATATTTCTATTTTAACTGTTGCACAGGAGGTGGAATTTATCTTCATTAAACATCATGTTGTTTACTGTGGCCCATTGAAAGATCTGATTTACATCAGTTTGGAGGTTTGCCATATCCTCTATATTATCTATTCATGAAAACACTAGTGTCATTTGCAAAGAATAATATGATGCTGTAGTTTGCATCTTGCCCATTTCCAATACTGTATTAGACCAAGAAAGCACAGTACAGTACTAGAGCAAGCACAGTATCCTGAGGAAACTGAGCTTTTCATGGTGGATGATCCAGATTATGTTCCTATACTATTTTACAAGTCTTCATATTACACCCTCGCTCTCTCCAGTCTTGCTGAAGGTACACATGATGGTAACTCGTTACCATAATTAGCTCCATTATTTCCGACACCAATATTGTGAATGGTACAGAAAAGTACGTGGCCATATGGGGCGTATCAGTGGAATATGAAGGATATTGAAATGGGACATGCTGAATGTTATAATTAGTATACAATTTAATGGTTAGGTACTATCAATAGTATACTTTACATATAAATGCTATGTATATGCTGTATAATGTTAAATGTAGCCCATATGTGCGACATTCAGCAGAAGCAACTGTAACAATGCATTTGTTGGCAAATTTTAAATAGAATATTTTACTTGTGATTTATTGATACATTACATAGTACAGTACTATTTGTCTTCTCAAAGATATCAAAGTCTTGATAATGTTATCATAAACAGAAGTTCATGTATGATGTTAAACTTAATTTTTTACTATTAAGTACTGTATTATAAAATTACCTTTGGTCTTATGTTAAAAAGTTACCAAGTTAAATTTTTTTGGGCTAGAACATATGTTAGTTTTTGACACCGAATTAAAAAAAAATAATCATCTAACAATTTTTTATTTACTGAATAATATTCAAACTGCTCATTTTACAAACTTCATGGGTGAGCACTGAAGCAAGAATGTTCCAATCATACTACCCTGCCCAAGACTTTAACCTAGGCACACATACGTCGGGCTGCGAGCAGCCGCGTCCAACAGCCTGGTTCATCAGTCCGGCAACCAGGAGGCCTGGTCGACGACCAGGCCGCGGGGACGCTAAGCCCCGGAAGCACCTCAAGGTAACCTCAAGGTAGGCCATATGACTAGTACGCATGTGTACTTCTGCTGTACCAAGTCGCTCCACTAAATACTGTACATTCTGTATATCCATTTTAGATGTTTAACTATTATTTAATAGCTGCTGCACAATCAAAAAAATGATTAGGAAAATATGTAGAAACAAACATTGCCAAATATCTTGTCCTTATATTTCATGAATTCATACAAAACCATCCACATGGAAACAACAATGTTATTAAAACATTAGCATCCAGATAACCCATTTTAGAAGGCTATGTATTAAGAAGATTATCAAATCCTAGTACGGTCAACACATGAAAGCTCCACAGAAATAATATCTATGCACAATCGACTTGTACTTTGTTTTGTCATGATACACTAGTGCAAATGTATATTGTATTTACAAATATTTTGTAATATTGTAAACAAAATTGTTTAAAAGCCTATTCTGTTTTTTAGTAATATACTGAAACAATGAAACATTAAAAAAAAAATAAAAATGGTTTCCCGAATTTATTGAAAATAATAATTTACACCAGCTATAAATACTTGGTAGAACTTGGGTTTTTGCTATTTTGACGGTACACAGCAGTGTGAATGCAGGAAACTATAAGGGGTTAACTCTTCAAAAAAAGATCTATTAAATATGGAAAAAGAAATTAACACTGGAAGTAATAAATTAAAATGCACGATTGTAGAAAACACTACAGTACTTTTGGCTTTTAACCTTATACTGTATTCTCTTAGTACTGTATTTATAAATGAAACATTAATCTTTAAAGAGTATATTATATACAGTATATCAATGATACAGTACCAGTATACTGTAATTGTAAATCTCTTCATTTCTTTAATAAGCATTCAGTACAGTACTGGTATTTAAAATAAAAATATACACCTAAAATACTACTTAAATCCTTCTTTTTTCTTCATGCCGCCACGTCCTGGACCCCCTCGACCACCACCACCTCCACCTGCACCAGGGGGTCCACCACGTCCTCGACCTCCAAACCCACCTGTCATACAAAAATTTATAAATTAACACACATTTCAAACACCAGAGGCTTGTTAAATAATACTAACACACACACACACACACACACACACCTAATATGCACCACTTGAATGACAAGCTGTGAGAAGAACTGGTGGTATTAAGCATGATACTGTAAAGTGAGTACATAACACAACATATGCTCATCTAATATTAGCTATACATGACAACACTTTAGTAAATAATGTATAACATATCTACACTCGCCTCTGCCAGGACCTCCACGACCACGTCCAGGTCCACCACGGCCCCTGCTTTCCCCTCGACCACGTCCACGAGCTACTACTTCTTCCTTAACAAGATCAATCACCTCATCGGGCAATCTCAAATATTTTATGGTAGAACCTCGGATATAGCATTCTGGCATCCTCCAAAATTTATCACCATCCTAAACAAGGAGAGAACAAATATTACATTCAAAATCACTGCCAAAAAAATTGATCTAACTAGAGCAAATTATTTCAGAACATCATTAAATTGAGTATTCCCTTTCTAGATATACTGTACTTTCATATAATTGCAGTTATTGCCCTCTTGGAATCTTCTGATCATACATTAACTTCACTTCTGTAACTTTCTTCTCAGCACTTTCACCTTCATTCTTAGCTACACTCAAATAGACTACTGAGGATGTGCTGGGGATGTGCATCTATCCAGAGACTTGCTGGAGATAGCCTGGTTAAACCTAAGTTGAAGCTTTAACCGACACAAGTAACTTGCGACATTTAAAACAACCGGACTCCAAAACTAGCCAGTATGGATAAATTTGCATTTAACAAAGCTGATTAATACCCTAAGTATTAGCTAAGCACCAGATTAGCATAACGTTAATACTTATTTGAACAGCAGTTGCTGCTGTCTGGTCATACAACATTGCACTCAATTGCAATAAAAGCCTCGGAACTGCATCCATAATACTACATCTAAAGAATCCTCTCAACCCTGGATAAATGAGACTGGAACACAGTAGCTAGAACTTACCAAGAAAAAATGTACAAGAAATGGGATGGTAAAACATTTACTAGATCTGTAAAGACAATACAATAATGCCCTTTTTTTAAAGACAGCAAATTCTGAAATACATTCCTGCTAGGAGTGATAAAAAGCTTTCAAACTGGCTGCTTGTCAATTAAAAACAGATGTCACCAAAATGTAATTGAAATCCAAGAATCTGAACATACATTCGGATGTTTGGATATCAATTACATTTAATTCGTCATACAACAGATGGATTAAAAGACAAGATAACTACATGCAGATGTTGATACAAATAATGATATTCAAAGCACTGGAGGATTTTGCTCTAGTAGGGCAATACTGTATTGTATGATTATATTTGTCACTGATGAATCTGATATTAAAATATATCTGTGGGGCAAGGTGTTAATTTCTGCCCAAACTTCTCCATAACATGCCGCTTCTTGTATTTGCAGCTACATTAGAAGAAATCTTCATTGAAATTTTCAGTACAGTATTTACATCAGACATGATGGCAAGATGTCTGATATTTACAACAAAAATATTAAAGAGAGTAGGAGAAAACTTTTGATGCACAGTCTGCTGGCATCAACTGTATTGTATTATGCATACAGAGATTACATTTCAAGGAAAATTAAACAGATTCCTCCCACAATTTTTTTTTTTTTGACCAGTTGAGAGAATTTTGGATCATTGCATTTAATATTAAAGAAACTCGACTGAAGCTACAGTACACTATTATTCAGCAATGAATGATTTGCTACCAATAAGTTTTTAAATGAATTTTATTTTTACAGACAGAAAATGTAAATATAAATGTATTTATTATATAGTTACCAATTCAACTTACCCGTGAGGTGCAGATTACATCTTTAAGATTAATATTCATCCAGTTGTCACAAGAAACAAGGTTGCCATTATATGTCTCTCCATTCTTCAACTCCACCAACATGGGGTGGTTTTGGGCAGTCTTCAGTAGAGATAAAGGCAACTGTTGGTAGAAAAATATAAGTTCCATTCTTGTTGTGGCAAATATGCACAAATACACTATAAACTAATATTCTTAAAATTATTTCTTGCATAAATCATGAAGATATAAAGAAAAATGACAGACACCCTTTATATGTTGATGGAGCCTGTAGGCCACAATGCATGCTACCAACTACAATACCAAAATGTGTTAAAAGGATAAATGAGATACAGCTGAAAGGTCACAAAATGAAATTCATGTGGATTCCATCTCATGTTGGAATAGTGCTCAATGAGGTGGCGGATGACAAGGCCAAACGTGTCACATCAAAACCACAAGTTGGCATTGAATGCGTTTTCACAATGAGACAAGAAAGAAACAAAATCAGAAATATTCAGGCACAGGCAGAAGTGGCGAGGAGAGGTATAATGCATAAGAGAAGTCAAACCATGCAACACTACATGTGTGTGTGTCAAAACACCCATTTCACTTATGGTAAAAGGAGAAATGCTTGGAGTGACTGCATATACAGCTCATGCTTGGGTACAAATATTACTGGGAATATGGAATAGGTGTTAATGATAATGACAAGTGTAAACTATGTGGCATGTTAAGGTCTCACACCCTCACCCATATGTTCTCGATTGCCCGTTGATTAATGTATATAGAAACACAGAGATAAGGACTGTTCCTGAACAAATAGCCTGGATGTGTCACAACAGAAAGACTGATGATATTCTGGAGAGATAGAAGAATTTTGCACCAAGATTGTAACCTTTTGTTGAATTGTCTGAATGTCTACTGCAAATTGTCTATATACCTAGTCACAAAAGTATTTGTGTGTACGTCTGGTAACATACTACATGTGTAAAGGAAGAAATGTATATCACTCAGAATGTTTGGTAATATGTTTATTGTTTGTGATGTGTCTATATATGTATGAACACATACTGAATGAGGTGAGAATAGCTTGAGCTACCTCATATCTTTGAGTGTATTTTACCTCAATAAACTTATTACAATTTCAAATGTGTTCAGCTTTATAATTATGGGCTATTCATGCCTGTGCCACTTTTTTGGGTGGCTTAATCTTTATCAGTCAATCAATCAACTTTATGAGGATCTATCTTTATGTCATCTCGCTGATTTCGGGGCTTAGCGTTGCCATGGCCCGGTCCTCAACCATGCCTTTTTTTTGTTACACATCCGCAGGAAGTAGCCCGTAGCAACAGTAACTCCCAGGTACCTATTTACTGCTAGGTGAACAGTCCATCAGGATGAAAGAAACTATGCCAATTTGTTTCTGCCTCCGCCAGGGATCGAACCCGGAACCTTAGGACTATGAATCCCGAGCACTGCCACTTAGCTGTCAGGCACCCTATTGTCAACATTGGCAAGGATTGCCGACATTCTTACATAACACAGGATTTGTCGATTTCTGAAGAGATTCAGTTATGTTCATTGCACTAGAAACCTTACTTGTATTGTGTGAGAATTTCTGTAGAAATTCAGTTATGCACACACAGACCAGTGAATTACACAAATGATCTCAACAATACTCAGTTCATTCGAACACCTAAAAAGTTTCATGCACATTACTTTTGCTTTGGTTAGTAATTTTAGGTTAAGCAACTATTTTAATTTAAAAATTATAATAAATTACTATTATTTAAAATTATAAATGTCTAGTACTGAATAGCATTAATTCTGGTGTCATTTTATAGTACCCTGAACCCCACCACTTTTGATTAATATTGCAAATTTTCCAATAAACTTAATATACAATAACCATATTTTAGTTAATTGTGGAAGTCAATAGCTTTCTTAAATGTCCAATAACCAGTGACATAACTCACCAACACACAATGATACCTTGTACAGTGCATAAAACTTTAAGATCTGATATTAGTGAGATTAGATATTTGCAGTCTCCGTGGTGTAGTGGCAAGACGTTCACCCGACGTTTCGCGAGCGTTTTGTTCTGTGTTCGTATCCTGGCCGGGGAGGATTTACTGGGCGCAAATCCTTAACTGTAGCCTCTGTTTAACTCAACAGTAAAATGGGTACTTTGTTGTAAAAATGATTCTTCGCAGGGGTTGTATTCCAGGAAACATAGGATTGAGGACTTGCCGAAATGCTACGTGCACTAGTGGTTGTACAAGAATGTAAGAATTCTTGTATATATAAATAAATAAATGTGTAAATAAATAAATAAAAAAGTGTTTCCACAACATAAGATACTGAACGTTTGGGATACTGATGCCAGTTGTCTGACATTTGGATTATTGCCCTGTTGGTACCATGTAAGCCTTTAGTTTAGGAATGTTCCAAATACTGTACTGTAGTAATGGAAGGTATAATTTAGGCAGTAATATTCATGTTTATAATGCTGAATGTTCTTTAAAATTAGGCAATATAATGGCTCAACTGGCCAACCACCAGTGCACACCATTTTGTCATCCATAAACATGTACTGTATAGGTAATATTTTAATACATTTGAATTTAAAGGCTACTTTTATTTATACCATAGCTCTATAGCCGAATTTACTTTGTTTTCAAATATTGGTGCAAGTACATGATAAGTATGCAATATAAATAAATCTTACTGCAACTCTTGTCAAGTCGAGTAAATCCCAATGTATGAGGAGCATCTCGATAAGAAAAAATTACAATTTATTGTGCAAGTACAGTCACTGTTCACTGGAATCCTTCAACAGTTAGCTAATGGTGATACAAAGTTACTCAAATAATTTCTCGGTACCTAATGATGGAAAGAATATTAAATCTAGATGCTAGATTAAATCATCAATGACTACCTCGAAACTGTGCGTGTAGAAATTATATGGTATTCGTTATGTGCATTAAATGACCGACTTATCTTTGAGAAAATGGAGTGCTTAAACTGTAGGATGACACTGAGGTAGCCACCGAGAAATATCCATTATTGGTAATATAAGGTGTCTGGAGATGAGTACTAAAGTTTAGAACATTTGTCAGCTTCTTGACACCAAACTTAAAAGCACAGCAGTCCACAACTTATGAATGGGTTGCATTTCAAAGAAGCATTCATTCCTTTGAACTAGATTTCTCATAGGAAAAATACTTTAAATGAGTAATGTTTTCTTATACCAGCAAAAATCAATATATATAACCCAAATTTTTGTGACAAGATGATCAAAGCACACATCAAAATATGGAGAAACAACGATGTTTCGGTTAGTCCAGCAGTCCAGGAGGGACCAAAATGCTGTCATTTTCCCCACTGTCTGATGTGTGGTTTGGTCATCATATCTTCAGCTACATTATTGTGATCCATCATCTCCTTTTGGGAAAAATAATAATCACAACTTTTTATTTACCTTGAATGAAGGAATCGCTTTACTTGTCTAATCTAGTTTTTTTGATTAGCAAAAAGGTACATATTAAAGGATGAATGTAGTGTGTGCAGCAGGATAAGGGGCTAAAAATGGGGATTTTCAGGCTGGTCATGGGATTGGATAATTCAATGTAGGGAATACCCTGTACAGGAATCTTGAAATCAATGGAAAGAGTCACTGACACCTAATGTATCATGCTACCTTACATATTTATATAAAAATTTAATGGGCAGTAGTTTCCAAGGCAAGAGCCACCAAACATGGATGATTGGGTTCTAGTCTCCAGACACATGGGAAGCAGGTAAAAAAGGTCACCTAAATATGAAAACACAACTAAAGTGCACTTACACACTGTTACCTTGTCCAAAAATATATAATGTTAATGCTCAGTGGTTCCCATGAAAGTAAGTGCATATCAAGAGCTTGATATGCAAGATATCTCTCTTGTCTCCTTTCTAGAGAGTACATTTGAAGGGCTCCGAGACGATCTAAAAAATTTAGGTGCTTTATCGCGTCTATGTATGCTGTATAGAGGGTACCGGTAGTACAGTCGGGTTTGTTCTTGACGCACAATCGAGAATTCCGGGTTCGAATCCCGGGCGGGAGAGAAATGGATTGGCACATTTCCTTTCACCTAATGCCTCTGTTCACCTATCTTAAGGTTCTCTCGAGATGATTTAGGGGCTTAACGTCCCCGCAGCCTGGTCCTCGACCAGGCCTCCTTTTTGTTACACACCCCCAGGAAGCAGCCTGTAGCAGCTGTAACTGCCAGGTACCTATTTACTGCTAGGTAACAGGGGGCTTCAGGGTGAAAGAAACTTTTTGCCCATGTGTCTCCACTTCCACCGGGGATCAAACCCAGAACCTCAGGACTACGAATCTGAAGCGCTGTCCACTCAGTTGTCAGGCACCTCGCCTAGCAAAGAGTAGGTACTCAGGAGTTAGTCAGCTTGTTGTGGGGTGGCATCCTGGGCAGGGTCAGTAATATGGCCTGGGGGGTAGTGGGGGCGAGGAACCTCGATTTAAGCCAAACGTGTATGAATAAACTCTGGCTTGACGTCCCACGACACAATGAATTATATGTTCTCTGTACTCCCTCTATTTCAGCAATCTCTCCTGCTCTGAAGGGGGATGTGAGTAATGAGCAGCACTCAAGACAGGACAGCACAAGTGATTTGAATAGTACATCCATTGTGATGGTATCCCTGGATTTGAAAGTTCTACAGAGAAGAGTCATATCTTATCTACCTAAGAGCCAGAAGAAGAGAGGAGAGGCATTCCCCATGGCGCAGTGGTAAGACACTCGCCTGACATTTCGCGAGCGCTTTAACCTGGGTTTGTTTCCTGGCCGGGGAGGGTTTACTGGGTGCCAATCCCTTACTATAGCCTCTGTTTACCCAACAGTAAAATGGGTACCTGGTTGTTAAACAATTTAGCAAGTCATATTCCAGGGAATATAAGGATTAAGGCCCTACCGGAAATGCTATGTGTGCTAGTGGCTGTACAAGAATGTAAGAACTCCTGTATATATAAATAAATACAAAAATATACCAAAGATGGCACATTAACATTTTAAAATCTAACTTTACCAACCTAATCGAACCTAACGATATATAAAGTTTGTATAATTATAAAACAAGCTTTGTTGAAACACCTGTGTATGATTATTATTATACCCAGACTTCAACACCAGAATGCTAGTGTATGGACACCCACGAGGCAGACTAGAACCAGCTGTTATTCTAGTAGTGTGGAATACTAGCATGAATACTGAATAGTATGGAAATTGCACTAGAGCTCTTCCAAATACAGTACCTGACCCTTGTCGACAGCCTGTCAAACTCACCATTTTTGCTCGTCCGCCAGTGTCCTCGTTTCTAAGACACGTGCAGTAACGTCAACTTTTGGCACGTAAATGTACGTGTCCTCTGCCTTAAAACAAGTAGTGTCCAGTTCCTCGTCTTTGAGACAGGTGCACTGTGATTATCTTCTTCTATGTTGGACGTGCCGTGACGCCTCAGTGTGCGTGTCTTCTCCCAGCTCCGTGTCCCTGGCGTGAGCTGCCGTGTCTTGCCTCCAAACGTTTGTCGGCAGTGTCAACATTGGCTTCCAGGGACTACGCCTCTAACACTAAACTAAACAAAACTCTAAGTCCACAGATTGTCTTACTGAGTTTCACATAACTTGTAGATTTATTTATAGTAAATTAGGCTTTGTCTGCTGATTAAAAGATATACATATTTTATGTAAGTTAACTGTCCCGATTTTCGAAAATGTTTAGAATTTACTACAACAAGATAAAGCTGTAACTAAGAGTGATTGTTACCTATCCACCGCTGCCCACTGGATGGGGGGCCGGTGTGCAGGATAAACATATCAATTGTGACACTAGCTCTCCACATATGACAATTGCTTAATTTAGAAACTGTACTTGTAGTCGATCTCGAACCCATTGTTGATGTGACGACTTATACTGGATTTTGTAACTAGCTCATCAAGATTGTAACTTGCTTAGCTAAATGAATTGTGGGGTTCAGTCCCTGAGCCCATTATGTGCCTCTGTAACCCTTTCCACTACCGCCCACAAGATGGGTATGGGGTGCATAATAAATGAACTAAACTAACTGGAACAGGAAACTTGTCTCTTTATGGACTTTATGCTCCCTAATTACAGTTTATTGCCCAACTCTTTTTAGGAACTTTGCTTATCATCTGCACAAGCAGCTCAGGATTTGTCACTGAGAACGAAGCTGTACTCACCTAGTTGATCTTGAAGGGTTGGGCGTCTGTTCTTAAGCCCCGCATTTCGAACATCATTAGTTCAATGCAGTGACTCTTTTCGCCTCGTTTTTTTTATCATATTAACATTTAAAGTTGTGTATTGAATAGGCTTCGACGACTTCATCTATACCGTTCTAATTATTTACGACTCTTAGACTGAAAAAAGTTCTCTCTGCCATCCGTGCTACTTGGAACTATTTGTTCCGTAGCTGAATCTATAACAACAGTGTAGTGAAGTCCGTTCTGTTGTTGTTGTTATAGATTCAGCTACTCAGAACAACTTCCAAGTAGCACGGGCTATGGTGAGCCCGTAGTGGACTTACCTGGCACAGGAGCAGTGCTGTGAGTGAAGAGAGAGGTCCGTTCCTCCCATGATTGATTGGTGAAGATTAAGCCACCTAAATGGTGGTACGGGCATGAATAGCCCGTAAGTGGTGGCCCTTTTGAACCATTACCAGTATCAATAGATGATACTGGAGATCTGTGGAGGTGCGACTGCACCCTGCGTGACGGGAGATGTCTCCCGTGGTTCCTCCCAGTCTTTCTTTATAGCTCAGGAAAGAGCCTTGTTGCATAACGTTGGACTTTTTCTAGTTTTGCTTTCGTTTTAGGTAGGGGTTCCGTGCCGGGGCTGCATACTCAACAATAGGTTTCACAATAATAGGCTCTTGATACTGTTGACTTCTGCATATCCTGATTCTTCATTGTCGGGGCCAAGAAGCTTGGTCCAACAGACTGTTGCTTGCAGCGTCTGGCAGGCCCACATATCCACTACAACCTGCGTGGTCCAACACTACTGGTAGAAAACCGTCTAATTTTTTCTTGAAAAAGTCCACTTTTACTCCGGCAATATTTCTTATATTTACTGGATTTTATTTATGTATTTATTTATATACAAGAAGGTACATATTGGGTTGTTAGAGTACATAACAATGGTGCCCGAGCGTTACATTCTTGCAAAGTTACACGCAAAGAGTTTTGAGCACATATTCATACACACGCATGCACATTCAAGCACACATGACATATTTCATACATAATACACTCACTCGCCTCGTTACAAAACCCTGAGAAGATTGACTGGGAACCAATCTATAACTGTTTGCCCCTAGCTGTTGCCCAGCATGACTGGGGGTAATATAGATTGGCTGGTAGAGTTCGAGGGAAGAAACTGGTAGGGGGTTAAGCCTACCATGAGTTATGGGACGGAGAACTCTCAGCCTGCTAAGTGTGTAATAAATAAAAAGTTAATGTGTTGCTAAAGTTCTTGATTGTTTAATCTGCGTGCTGGAGAGAGATGTCCGAAATGCTTTGCGTAATAGTGGCTTTAGGCATTGTATGTACTAGCCCTATCCATAAATCCATCATTCTTTGTAAAATCTCTTGTATGTATGTACCTTACCTAAATAAACATTTATTTATTATTTATGTAGCATGTAATTAATAATTATCATGCTTTTGTTCTAGTATGCAATATAATTTATGTAATTTATTACAAACTAATACGTTATTAACCTTTTTTTAAAGTGAATGTTTTATTTCTAAGCACTTATTCGTACAAGAAGATTTTAGCTTTTCAGTTAGGAATTGAGATGTTGCCAGCAGTGACTGATCAACCAGGCTGTGAGCAGCCGCATCAAACAGCCTGCTTGACCAGACTATCAAACTATAGCCTGGTCGCGGCGACGTTGAACCTCGGAATGCGCAACAGGCATTAATTCAAATTCAAATTGTTATTCAGGTAAAAAGTACGTACATAGGTGATGAGTTACAAACGTAATGTTGGATTTATAGATAGAGCTAATACATACAATACCTAAAGCCACTAATACGCACAGCGTTTCGGGCAATTAGACTAGTTAAGAGTTACCAAGGGCCGTTATCCAGCGCCATGTTGTCCCAGAGGCCACACATGGTCAAGTATGTTTACTGAGACAAGAAAGAAATACATCTCAAAGGGATAGAGTATCTTAGGCTATGTCTACCCCCTTACACATGGTCTTCCCAAGTCCACTACCACCACGACACGCTCGGTACACGTATACGCAATATTTGCGTGCCAAAAATCCTTGCATATAAAATCAGATTTATGAAATGGGTTAGAATAAAATTGACACTTATTAATACTACATATAAATTACAATCTTGATATATTTATGAAATATTTATAAATATTTGTCAAATTTTACGTTGAGTTTGTATTTTTTATTACAAATTTCAAAATGTTATTAAGATGTTAAATTAAATTAAAACAAACTGTTTGTTAAAATAATTCGGCTACCTTTATGTAACTAAAATATAATGGTTACCCTAATTCCAATGTGCTCTAATTTTCTTTAAGGTGTATTTTTCTTGAATTTAGCTGAATATACTCGAAGGCCACTGTATCTCTAGTGGCCTCGACGAGGACAGTAAGCCGGCGGCTTGTCAAAGGTCCCTCCATTTCTGCTGAGGATTTTTTCCAGTTGGAATTTCACATTCAACAGTTTTGGCATTTACGGCTTCAGCGGGTAAGCAGTTCCATGGGTTTATAACCCTGTGGGTGAAAGAGCATCTTCTGTTTTCAGTCCTACATTGAGGCGTGTTGAGCTTGAACCCGTTGCTCCTTGTTTATGTTACATCTGACCTTTTGAAGAAATTGTCTGGATCAACATCCTCCAAATTGTTCAGTATTTTTAAGTTTCGATGAGATCAGCCTTGTCGAGTCTGGTTTGCAGTGGTGTTACTCCTGAAGCCCTCAACCGTTCCTGGTATGATAGTTGACTTAGCTCAAGAATTATTTCTGTGGCGCTGCGTTGGACTTTCTCGCTATGTCTTTCTCAAGCCTAGGTCTCCATGCTAGGCTACAATGAGACAAGAACGGTGCACCTGAGATTTATACAGTTAAATAAGTACCGTCCTTTCTTTAAAGTTAAAAGTTTGCTTGATTATTCCTTGTGTTTGGTTAGCTGGGTTTTTTTACTGCTGTCCCACTTGTGCATTTTCTCAAACATGATTTTCTATTAGGAAACATACAGGAAATCTGTTTAAACATAAATATGAGCAAATAGGAATAAGAGCATAACATAGTCTAAGATATACAGCGTATAACATACACAACATAACATACACAGAGTAGACATACACAGTACTATGGTGCTAGGCCTTTTCTCAGCTTGTATGGTCACAGTCCAGGTTGCTAAAGTTTTGTCCCCAGCTAGCATGGTCATGGTATTGGGAGCCTGACAGCTGAGTGGACAGCGCTCGGGATTCGTAATCCTAGGGGTCCGAGGATCGATACCCGGTAAAAAAAAGATACCCAGTGATGGCGAAAACAAATGGGCACAGTTTTTTCACCCTAATGCGCTTGTTTACCTAGTAGTAAATAGGTACCTAGGAGTTAGACAGCTGCTACGGGCTGTTTTATGCGGGGGGGGGGGGATCAGTTGATTGACAGTTGAGAGGTGGGCCGAAAGAGCCAGAGCTCAACCCCCGCAAAGTGAATACAGGTGAATACAGACTGTATTCTAGGAGAATACAGGCTGTATTCTCCTAGAATACAATCCTGGGTGCTAGTCTTGTCCCCCAGCTAACATGATCAGTCTAAACTGGCAGGTTTTGCTACAACACAAAGAACGAGATAAAGGAATTATAAAAATCATATAATTTAGATTAGTTTATGATGGACCCATGGCTATCATAAGCCAGTTAAAAAACAATCAATTTTCTATGAGTTTTTTAATAGTATTTGCAAATTTGATTTTTTTATATGAACATGTATAATATCTCGCAGTTAAATTATTATTTTAAATATTTATAAAATTGTAGCATTTAAAACAAAAATAAAAATTAAACATCATACATTAAACTGAATTAAGCGTGGCTGCAAAATACATTTTGATGGAGTGCGAAAAGATACGTGAATTCAGAAACAATTCTATAACAAATGTTCCAGAGATGTGTAAATATTTAATTCAAAATGATCTGCTATCATAAATCTCTGCCAAATATCCCCAGTTTGCTAACTGTAGGTAGTAACTATGTGATTATAACCTATCCACGGCTGCCCACTGGATGGGCGGCGGTGTGCAGGAGAAACATATCAATTGTGACACTAGCTCTCCACATATGTCAGTTGCTTAATTTAGAAACTGTACTTGTGGTCGATCTCGAACCCATTGTTGATGTGACGATGTGAATTGAATTGTGTAACTAATGAAGATTGTAACTTGCTTAACTACATTAATTGTGGGGTTCAGTCCCTGAGCCCATTATGTGCCTCTGTAACCCTTTCCACTACTGCCCACAGGATAGGTATGGGGTGCATAATAAATGAATTAAACTAAAACTGATGAGA